TCCAAAGCTAATCTAAAGCTCCTCTTTAAAATATACCTTCAGGGGCCAGAGAGATGACTTAGCTGTTAAGAGTAGTGGCTGTATTTCCAGGGGACCCTCATCCAATTCTCAGAACCTATATGACTACTAACAACCATCTGTAAACTTCGGGCACTGCACACACACATGCAGGCAAAACACCAACATACATAAAAAAGCAATTAGTTAATACAAAGTTAACTGGGTTAAAAAAAAAAAAAAAAAAAAAAAAAAAAAAAAAAAGCCCTAACCTCTAAGGGGCTGGGGATGGCTGAGAAGTTAAGAGCACCTGCTGCTCTTGCAGAGGATGGAGTTTGGTTCAGAACACTCACATATAGACTGTGTCGACTGTGTCTATTACTGCAGTTCCAGAGGATCAACACCCTCTTCTAGCCTCTGCACCAGCTATACAAATGGTACATACATACATACATGCACACACACATACGTACAGGTAAGCACTAATATCCACAAAATAAAAAATGAATCTTAAAACAATGAAAGGCTTCTTTTTTTCAGTATGTGACATATAACTGCAATTGAGGAAATGAACGCCATTATCTACATGCTTAAAAATAATTATCTGTAATCATTCTGCTCACCAAAATCTGTAATGATTTTACTGGAAGTCTTATACAGCTAAAATCAATGTACATTTTACGACTGTTCATCAGATATATTACAACTGTCTAAAGTGTAGTTGGTAAATTTGTACTCATATGTGCCAGTCAAATGTTATGTTTCATCACAGTAACCACTATCATTTTCTACCCTTCTGCTTTCTTTGTTTCATTTACCAAGGCTAACATACTGTCTGCTTCATTACAAGATCAGCATTAGCCTCTCTTCATGAAAAGAAGCTCCAAAAAGGCAGGTATGTCTGTCTCATAAAGCTACATCCTTGGCCTAGCAATGTTGAAAATAGTCAGTAAACAGTTATCATATGAAATAATGGGTTTTTAGTTTATTTAGCAGTTGTCTGGTAAAACAAAGGAAATAGTTATTTCAAGCAAAAAAGAGAACATCCACTTTACAAGGACTTGAAAACTGTTGAAAAAAGTTTCCAGAGCAGATGATATAGTTCATCCTCTCGAAAATTCATGCTAGAATTTAGCTGCCATTGCATTAAGAGGGTAGGAATTTAACATAACTCATGTTTCAGGGCATTGCCATTAGGATGTGATTACAATCAGATGAGGTCATCATAGGAGTTCCTATTTCAAATCAAGGAAAGTAAGCAATGAGAGGATGCATGCATTCACACACACCACACCACACCATGCATTCATTGCCCCCACCCCACCCATTTTGTCCATCTCTTGTCATATGATTACCTGAAACAGTTCACCAGTGCCAGCAAAGTCATCAGTAGATGAGGTCCATCAACCTTGGACCAAAACTGCGAACCACAAACCCCTTTCTACACAATATACACAATCTGTGTATTATTAGTAATGGAGGAGAGAGTAAGACAAGTGGTATACAGAAGGTATACAGAGTGAAAGATAGTTTATGTTTGTTGGTTTTTTTTTTTCTACAAAGTTGAATTAACCAAATATTACCTGGAAAACCAGGAAGTCCCAATACAGCATTGACTAGGCCTCTTGAAGGACAAAAAAAAAAAAAAAAGCAAGGCAGAATCTCAGTAAAAGTCAGAAAACTTCAGAAGAAGTTTCTGCCACTACATGTTCAATACTAAATCCTCCTTAGAACCTATCTTCCAAACTGCATGTCAGATTTTCATTCAAATGCAAAGGAACTTCTAATAAAACCATCCAAGTATCTTAGCCTTTCATTTTCCTCTATGCATTGCTTGTAGACCACTTGTTTCTGACTTAACTACAGAATTTATTAGAAATAAAATTCTGAGTTGGGAATGAAGTCTTATGCAATAATCCCAGCACATACATAAAATAATCCCAGACTGAAACAGACTAGTAGGGAGTTCAAGGCCAGCCTGAGCTATTGAGTAAGAACATGTTTCAAAGAACAACCAAGCAAACAAGCAAAGATTCTGAAATTTCATAATGGGGTCCAAAAATACATTTTTACTAAGAATTACAAGTTTGTTTTTTTCTTTATGTATCTATTTATTTATTGAAGCTGACTCTCACTACATAGACACGAATAGTATGGAATTCACTGTAGACAAGGCTGGTCTCAAACTCAGAGATCCCATGCTGGGATTAAAGGCAGGCACCACCATGCCCAGCCATTCCTAAGTAAACTCAAGTATCCCAATACTCTAAGTTCATTAGAAGTCACCTATTCTATGATGTCCCAATTTAGACTCAATGCACTGATCTGCACTTTTAAAGTGTATTTCTCCCATAACATATACCACATTAACTACCCAGCACTAGTCCTCACCAACTCTGACTATGGCAAAACTTTCTGTCTCCACACAGCTAACAACTGTTACATGAACTAAACAAGTCAGGAAACACCTACAACTCAAAATGCTAGCTCCTACAACAGAAAGTATACCAGAATTAGTTGGTTTACCTTCAGTAAATTTTCTATAGAATATTTTCAAAAACTGAAAGCAAAATAATTCAGAGAGCTCCACATGTTCTGTCTACACCACAAGCTTATTGTCATTTGTTTACGATTCAAAATCATGATACATACAGCTCACCCCTGAAGTTTGGGATTAGATACTGTATCAGAGAATGATAGGAAAAAGTAAATTTATAGCCAATTAAACAATTATAAAACCAAAATGTCCATTCTGGGGTAGCATTTATATGACAGTAGTGAAATATTGGCCAAGTATAAGGATAAAGATTTTAAGACTACCCACATGATGTACTAAAAAAAAAAAAATTAACAAAAAACAAAAAAGAGAGAATGAGAATTTTTAAAAGGAACTATAGGGCTAAGGAAACCAAATTAAATCTTAATCAGAAATATGTATATATCATGAAACAAAGTTCTAAGTCTAAGAATGTGAATCATAAGATGACTTAAAGACCAATTCTACTTCTTTTGTCAGAAATCTAGAAAGTCTGATAGAGTTGAGTAATCTTACCAAATTCGTCTTCAGAGTTCACATATGGTGCTCAGTGTATTATTAGCCATTTAAAAGAAACTGCTAATTTAACTGAGCTGCATCCTAAATTCAGCCCATCCTCACAAAATTCAATTCTTAGACATTTTTATTTTTTTGGGGGGGGGGATCCCAAGCACTGACTGCAATAATTACAAATACAAACATGATCAATTTCATAGCTGTGAACAGCTTCAGGCCAGTATCTCAAAACAAAAACCAATGTCACAATGGAGACAGATCACTACCCAACCTGACACTGGGAATCACCGAGATCAGCTAGAAATACATCTATTTTGTTGGAGGTCCCAGAGTGGTTTTACAGACCTTAGAATGCAGGAAACACATTCTAATTCAGCTTCCCGGTGACTATAATGTACTGAAGAATTTTATTAATATTCTATCTTCAACTTTCTAGATTAAGAAGTCAAAAACTTACTTTACACTTAAGAAACTGAGACCAAGTTCATTAGATGTCACCTCAAGTATGTCATTGCCTGTTTCTAGACTCCACATGGTTCTGTAAATTTGAAGGGGGTGGGAAAATTGACTAGATTTTGATTCCTTCTAGTTCTAATATTCGTTCTTTAATTTCATTATGTCAAATAAAAACTCTCTGAAGAAATGTAAGCCATAGTATGCAGAGGTTCAAAACAGAAGGAAAAAAAAAAAAATAACCTTAAAACCAAAAGAAACACAAATCACCTGGTACAGCACAACTGGAACCAGATGAGTTTGAAAGTTTTTATTCTCAAGTTCATAAGGCCTTCTAAAATCATCACACACAACAGCTAAAATTCGCAATATTTGAATCTGAAAAACAGGCATCTGCCTCTGATGCCAACATTCTGGGAAGCAGTGGCAGGCAGATCTCTGAACTGGTGGACAGCCTGATGTACATAAAAAGAAGGCAGCAGGCCAACAAGTGCCTGCAGATGAGGGTTGGAAATCTCCCACACGCTTAATTGTCCAACTTTACCAGAACCCTGCGGTCTTGGAAACATCAAGTCTGTCTTTAAGATCCTTTAATGTTCCAGAAAATATCATCACTATCTAACTGCCCTCCTCCCATTTTCCTATAAAGCAAAAGCCTTGCCTTTCCATAAATTAACTTCTGTACTGTGCGATCAGTCAACACCCGCTTAACTAAATAAAGTTGATTAAGATTCTCTTTCTACAAATCCATGCACTTATTCCACTTTCAGCCAGAAACAGCACAGGAGCTCTCGGGATGACTGACTTCACAGTCAATACCCTCTGCTCGCTGTCCATCATACTGATTTCCATCCTACCTTTCCAAACCAGGCTCTTTCTACATTCACTCCTCCGCATGAAATCCTTCTTACCCAACCTTTAAAGACACTTGCACATACGACTGAAGCTACTCTCCCTACTGCAAATGCTCCCCTCTCAATACAATGCCTTCACAAATTTTCCTTTTGGATTGAATCTGTTGATACTTAAGTCGACTCTTTGTTTTAAGTGACAATTTTTCCAGCTGTGAAACAGCTGAGTTTTAAGAGAAACCAATTGTATCTTGAGTGCCTAGCGTTGCTTGTCTCCAAGAAAGATACAGGCAGGGTTCAAAGGTACTTCTACACCCTTAAACTCCTGGCCACAAGCCAACCCACCTCGGGAAAAGGTGACAGCGACTCGGTGATGAGCGGAGCAAGGTCATCTGGGGGCCACCTGGTGCCACAGGCCACGAGCAGTGCAGGCTACTCAGTCGGAGCGGTGCGGCCGACCCAGGCCTCCCGCGGGGCCGCGCGCACTCTGGGCAGGTGGGGTCCCGCCAGCAGGTCACCCCAGCGCTCCGCAGGTTCCATTCAGAGCCGGGGCATCCACCAACCAACCGGCTCCTCTCACAGACTGACCTCCCCGCCCTTCCCTCCTGACGGCTGTCACTCTGGGCCGTGATCGCACAAGGACTCACCATAACGCCAAGAAGAGGTCGCGAGGCGGACACTCTGGAGTCGCCGGGAGCCTCCTGCACCTCGCCTGCAGGTTCTGCAGAACGGACCTCTCCAAACCGCGAGGGAAAAGGTCTTCCGGCTCTGCCGGAAGTCCTGCCCGCGCGGGACAGGAAGTCCCTCCCTCTCCTGACCGCCAGCGACCCCACGCCACGCAGAGATGAGGGGACGCAAGGCGTCCGCTAGAGCTACTTCCGCGGGTGCGAGGCGAGGGCGGCGGGCGGGGCTGACCTTGAGAGGCCGGGGGCGCAGGCGCGCAGGTAGGTGGGCGGGGCTCCTAGGTAGGCTGGCCGCTTTCCGCCAGGCTGGTGGAGCCGCCGGGTCGGAGGCGGGGGTCGCCTGGGTCGGAGCTGACCTCGCACCCTGGGCTCGGTGAGGATGGAGAGCTTCCCAGTCTGTATTCGTGCTGAGCGAACTCAGAAGTTGTCCAGCTCAGCCAGCGTCCTTTCTGCCTTCATTTTCCTTACGCGGTACCTTGGATTCTTGGTTAAAAACCCACGTCCTGCCGAAGCACCACCCTCTCTTAGGTCAGTGGAATTCGACTTTTACAAGTTCTTCGCTTTCCACAGACGCCAGCTGGAGCCAGGGGATATCTACCTAGAACAGGAACCAAGAAGGAAATTCAGTGTGGACACCTCCTACCTACTTAATTCCAATATGAACAGAAAAGGCATTGGAACACGGAAAGAAGTGAAATTCTCACATTCATACATGATATACACGTGTGTGTGTGTGTGTGTGTGTGTGTGTGTGTGTGTGTGTGTGTTTTGGGACCCACCCACTCACCCCCTAAACATCTGTAGGGGCAAGCTCTTTCCGCCTTTTTATTGTGATGAGAATTAACCCTAGAGGCAAGTTTGAAATAACTACACAGAGCATCTTGATCCAGAAATGTATCAGTTTGAGAAGCCTTACCAAAACTGTACCCATCTTACCCTTATCCATGAGATATCTTTTACCATAATGTGGTTTCGTCCTGACAGAGTACCTGGAAGTAATGATGTTCAACCTCTAAATGGCCGGCCCAAGGGCTCTGGGAGGGACTCAGTTCTGAGCCACCTAAAGAAGTTCATTAATGGGGTGGGGGATGGTAAGCAGAGTGGCAGGCAATACAGAAAGAATAAGAAATGACAGAAGCTGCTGCAAGTCCAGTGGCCTTGGGGAGTAGTTTGTGAAATAGATTCTGCTGATGATCAATCCAGAACTTCCCCAAGGGTTCAGTTTCTGCTCTACAGAGATGAGGTTGTAAATAGGCAGGCCCCACCCAAAGCAACTACAGGTGGTGGAGTGCAGTGAAGAGGGAGTGGGGTTGTCTGCTGGTCTGTGTGGGGAGGAAGAAATGGTGGGGAAGGAGAGTCGCTATGAGCCTGTCAGTGACATCACATTCTGTGAAGTCTTACTCTTTCATTTATGACAGTGTCGGTCTTCTAGCTGTCCTAAACCTGGCAGCCTCATCGAGGTTCACAAAACACCTCCTCCTATATGACAGTAAGCTGGGAATCAGTGGCAGGATACAATCCATTCCCTGCCAGAGTGAAAACAAGAAATCAGTCAGGTTTTGGAATCACCACTTTTAATAGACTGTCATATCCTATACTCTTTGTTTTCTGCATGGCTTGTTGATTAACAATCCTTGGTTAAAATCCTTTAAGTTTACATGATTGATTAGCTCTGTTACCCCATTACAAAATCCATTATACACATAGTACTTTTAATGATTAGTTTGTGTGTGTTTTCATTTTTAGCTGTGTCCAGTCATTTTATCCTATAAAAAAAAGCTCTATTTTCTATTGATTACCTGTTTCTTTTTTAGAAGAGAATTTACCCCTTTCCATTTTTTAGATGGATAGAAGTCTTTGACAAAGATTCAAATTGAATCATAAAAAGGAGGGAGGGGAGATGTGATGATAAAAATTGAATGATCTTTTTGGCAAAGGAGTGCAATTTGAGAAAAGTCTTGTCTCTTACCAGTTTGGATTTGTGGTGACTTAAAATGTCCTCTTTAAGAATTGGTCTCAAATATGTATAAATATTAACAGAAAGCTACTTATATCAACACTGACTCTAATCTCAATATTTTCCACTTATTAAAATTACCACTTTTTCAAAGTCCAATCCCTGTCTTTTACAAAATGTGTTGGTTCTTTTCATCCCTTTAAAAGGTTCCATTGCTTTCTCTTTACTAAATATGATTATATGTTTTATTCTGCGATTTATGTTGTTTTGCTACTTGTCTGTGGCTATGTGGAAAGTTAGGTTCTTGTTTTTGTTGGGTTTTGCTTCGTAGTTAAATTGTACTTGAAATTCTTTGTAGGTAATAGTAGGAACAATTGTGGACCAGTAACAATAAAATATTGGTCATATTCTGCTGTGTATGGTTAGTGGAACATTATGTAATTGTTCTAAAATGCCACTAGACTAGTCTCAATAGTGGAAAATGGTTGTCTTTTAAGTTACAAGAGGACCGGTGAGTGTGGAACCTACACAATGTGTTTAATGCCCTTATCAGAGACAAAAGAGCTTGTTTCCTCTTTTATTCAGCACCATGTAAGAACATATCGAGAACTCATCTACCAGCCATGAAGAGGGCCCTCTTCAAATCCACCTTTGATAACTATGAGAACTGATTTTGTGGCTTAAATCACCCAGTTTATGGTAATGTTGTTACAGCATCCAAAGTAAAGAATGCAAAATTGTGTTCAGTGCAATTGCTTTGACCCAAAAATAGGTCCTACACCCACAGAAAAAGATAATTCAGAGTTTATTCATTAATACTAGGCATTGATTTTCTAAACCTTTCTATGATAAGGATAATAGGGAAAGTTTGAAAACCTTATTTATGAAAAAAAATTATATTTATCAATAAAACTTTTTAAAAATCCACCTTCCTAATCCACTCTACCTTCCTAATTTGGGAGAAAAATCCTTCAGAAGTTAAACCAGGCATATGACCATAACCCAGCAATTGGAGAGAAAAGAGACAGGAAACTTGATAGGAAGGTTAGGCTGGCTGGCCAGCAAGCAATAGCAACTTGTGCTTTTGGTTGTTTTTGTGTGTGTGCTTTTGTTGTTGTTGTTTTTATTTAAACATGGATTCTGAGATTCACACTCTGCCTTCACACTTGAACAGATAGTGTTTTACTGCCTGAGATATCTTCCCATAGTGGGAACTTGATTCCATGTATGAAACCTTTCTTTCCCCCTCACCTAAATCCTCCCTGATCCTCCTCATCAGCTACCCACCCATCTTCATGTTTTTTCTCTCTTGCTTTCATTGTAAACAAAAATCTAAGAAAGCATAGCAAAAGGACAAACAAAACCACAGCAGCAAAAAAAAAAAAAAAAACACACACACACACACACACACACACACACACACACAAAGAAATCAACGACCTCATAAACTAAAAAGCTTCTGTATAGTAGTAAAGGACACCCTCAAAATGACAGTCTACAGAATGATAAAAAAGATATACCAATTAACATTTGATAGAGCCAGTATGTAGAATATACCAAAAATAAAAACAAAGAACAACTAATTAAAAAATGAGGTGGGACAACTAAGAGTTCCCAAAAGATGAAACACAAGTGGCAGAAAAAAACACTAAAAATATTCAGCACTTTTTCTTATTCATCCCAGGTCTACATGTCCAGGGATAGCACAGCCTACAACAGGCTGGATACCACTCCCACATTGCCATTTAAGAAAATGCCCCACAGACCAGTCTGATGAAAGTAATTAGTTAACCGAGGTTCACTTGACAGTTATTTTCCTAGCCCCAGGAAAATGTCTTATTCAAACACCCTACCTAGATTGGATCCCACATAAAACACAACACACACACACACACACACACACACACACACACACACACACACACACACACACAAACACCATCACAAACAGCTTTAGCCCCATGAAAGTACCTCTTTAAAATCAAAATTAACTTTATTCTATCATGAAATATTTGTTTTCATCTTTAACTGGGAGAGGCCAGATGTGATCAGAAGTTATCCTTATAGTAGAAATGTCCTGTAACCTGGGTAATCCATTAGAGTTGACTCTTGATGGAGGTGATGGGTTGGGGGAGGTAAGGGGAAGCTAGACCCCAGGGCATGAGTAAGAGAGCTGGCTCCACATCCCATCTTGTCTGCCATGTGGTGGCATGGGAGAGCAAAAGATGCCCTCACCCCCACAACAGGCAGGAGAGCTGTTGTCTGGGGCATGAGAGATGGAAAGCTGGTCCTGCCCCTCACCAGCTGTAGCATTCAGAAGAGTGGCCCCTGGGAAATACAGTAGAGCTGGCCCTGGCGGTGTGGGTGTTGGTGAGCTGGCCTCCAAGGGCTTGAGAGCAGAACTAGCCCACCCCTTGCTGCCTAATGCATTTGGGTGAGCTAGCTGGGGCAGTGCTGGGAGAGCTCACTATGTTGGCGAGGGCAAAGGAGAGCTTGTGGCCTGACCAACCCAGCTACCACCTAGGCCAGAACGGGGGCTGAGTTGGCCCACCCCAACATCCACTCCATCTATGATGTGATAGAGCACATGAAGGGTCTGGTCCTGAACATCCAAAGCTGTAGGATCTCCTTTACATGAAGCAACAACAAGATAGCCAAGAGGGGTCCCAGTATCAATAGTGTGGCAGAAACCAGAGGCCTCCGATCAGACCAGTGACTTACTGCAATCAACATTTGCAAGTAAAGATGTATGGAACAAAGGGTATACTGTGTGACTTACTGTGTCACAATACAGCTTCCTCGATGAGTTTTTGTTTTCTTTTAAATTTCAATTTATTATTTTCTGGGGGAGGTTGCAAGGACAGAGGGCAGACACAAAGGGACAGAGAGATGACTGGGATTAGGATGTGTAATATGAAATCCACAAAAAATCAATAAAAAATTAAAAGAGAAAAAAAGGGCATGGCCTGTAAGTGAATAAACAATGAAAATATAAGGAATAAATACTAGTCTGAAAATCAAAATTGATAATTTATGCCATTTCAATGACAAGAGAACCCAGTTTTGCAAAATCTTAGAAAACTTTTATTAGCAGAATGGGCAATAGTATGAAACCTGAAACCATAATCTAACTTGAAATTTTTGAGACAGGTAGATAGCAAAACCCAAAGTGTTACTGAACCATATAGATATGATTTCTTACCTCTTTAGAAAGCTAGAATCTTAAAGTGGCAATATCCCTGGAACATCTATACATTTCTAATAGGAGTTGACACTGCTATAATTCCAAAAACA